GCTGATAGATGCAGGCTGGTTTGGGAGATGTCATCAGTGAACTTTTTTTTAAAGCTGAACTTGATATTTTATTTATTTATTTATTTATTTATGAGTTGATACATGTCAAAGATTTTTTTTTTTAAGATTTTATTTATTTATTTGACAGAGAGAGAGACAGCGAGAGAGGGAACACAAGCAGGGAGAAGCTGGCTTCCCGCCGAGCAGGGAGCCCGATGTGGGACTCGATCCCAGGACCCTGGGATCATGACCTGAGCCAAAGGCAGACGCTTAACGACTGAGCCACCCAGGCGCCCCCATGTCAATGATCTTTTAATAAATGATCTCTGTAGAGAAAAAAACTATTGATTGGGCTGTTCACAGAGCAGAAGAGGTAAAAATTGTTTAGAATAACCCATTTTCTAGAATTACCTTTTCTATTTTTCTATTTTCTAGAATTATTTTTCTAGAATTAACCCATTCCTGCTGGAAGTAGAGAATAAATCACTTCTTTACAGAAAGAATGCAGGATTTAGAAAACTGAGAACCAGTTTTAATCCCTAGCTTCATACCTTGGGCCGGAAACTAAAGCTCTCCAGGCCTCAGTGTCTTCAGGAAAAAAGGGACATTTACAAGGATGAAAGGAATTAGTAGTGGTTTGATGTTTACCCTCTCTTCCTTTTTTCTTCTATACCTTTCCATTTCTTCCCCCATTTCCATAGAGCCTGGGAAGCTGACAATGAATAGTCCATCTCCATTTGAATGGGAAAATGGTGCTGTTTTGAGAAGTTGGACCAAAGGACCTGGGTCTCTCCCAAACCTGAGATTCCCTCTGATGATCTACACAAGCTTTTTGCTAAGAAAGCAATTAAAGAAAGGATCAACTGCCTAAAGTGTGAACACATTTAGATCCTACTGTTTACTGGCACTTCAAAACTGAATTTGCACAAAAGGATGACCTAGAAACAAGCAGGGAAAAGCTGTGTGGCATTTAGATGCATATCACATATGCATAATTGATTCCTTAAAAGGTTAAATACTCTTAGCATATGTATGGATAGTGATATACCCATGATAGGTTCATAATTATTATGGCAATGGCTTTGTTTTACATAATTCTAAAGTAAATGTCATGTTTCTTTGGAGATTCCAGGACTGGTATTCAGAAAAGCATATGTTTCCACATAGATAGCTAGGTAAGAGGAGCTACTCTTTCCCAAACAGAAGGACTATTCATGTAGCTGTACACTAAGCTTTATGAGGCACCAACTGCCACTAAATTCTCTTTGGAATTTGAAATGCAATTACATATCGAGGACAAGTGCTAAATATAAACAGAAAAGCCAAAAAGATGACTTTTTTTTTTTTTTGCTTTGTTTTTGCAGTGTATTTGAAGGAAGAATTAAATACCCCAAACACACTATAATCCCTAATTGAAACACACAGTTCAGGCAATTCGGTGAATCCTTTAGCAGCTTTTTTCAAAAGCTTATTGTAGCTCAGGAAGAGCTGGTCTCTTCTTATGTAAACAATTGTAAGGATGCTAAGGAAATTAATAAAAGAACCAAGTCACTAAGAACTATGTAGAAGGAAATACTATAATATATGCCATAAAATCAGGGAAAAAATAGGCAATGTGTTATGTGAGGATACATATATAAGTGGTGAAAACTATATGAATGGGAATGGTTATTACAAAAATTCAGGTTTTGGGTTTCTTCTTTGGGGAAGGAGGGAAATACCACCTGTGTGGTGCATGCAGGGGGTTTTGCTAGATGTATGATTTATGGTGGATGTTTATTGATGATGTTAAATATTGCTGTACAATTTTTTAGGTAAGTTGTATTTTTTAATTTGTAAGAATGGAAAAGGCAAAATAACACAGTGAAGAAAAGCACAAATTAAGTTGGTAAAAAAAAACAATGTAAGATAGTAATAATGATAATAATGATAAAAAGTAAATTTATTGATCTCAGGTTGATCGAAGTATCTTCATATTGTACTTTTTTTTTTTGATGGGGGGGGGCAGTGGGAGAGAAAAATCATGAATCATGACCCTGAGATCATGACCTGACCAGAAATCAGGAGTCTGACACTTAACTGACTGAGCCACCCAGGTATCCCTTCTTCATATTGTACTTCTTAAAAATGTAAATACATGCCATGTGCAAGACACAACTAAAATAGGTCCCTAGAAGGGTTGAAAGTAACAAGATGAGAAAGGGTATAGCAGATAAATACTAACAAAAGAAAACTCTTGTAGGCCTTTAAATAATGGGAAAACTGGACCTTAGGACAAAACGTAGTGTCGTTTATTCTTTGTCTTCAATGACAGTTTCTTCATCCTGAGCCCATTCTATCCATGCATCTGCTGACCTTCCAGGACTTTTGATAAATCATCTCCACCTATTTCTGTCTTACTCCAAGCTCACCATTTTCAAATCTTAGAATTTTGAATCTCTCAACTCTGGTAGTACGTATTATCTGTATACCATTGATTTGGTACTTATTGTAAGCTGTGTTTTAGTGTTATTGATGATATTCATGCATTTCTTCAATAAATTGTAGTAATCTAGAGCTAGAGACTATACCTTCTTCATCTTTTAACACCCAGTGTCACCTCACCCTAGGACCTGCCATATGGTAGAATCAAGTCACCTGGCATATAGTAGAAAGTCAATAAACATGTCAGCAGTTGACTGAAAAATGGCTTCTTTTTGCATTAACAGCTCTTTCAGGATGTTTGAGTACTTTGCCAATACTATGTATTTACATTTTCTAAGCAATCTCTCAGCCAAAGTTTTAGAAGGGGCAGAGGAAGAGATACTATGGTTAGAGAAGGATCCATAGCTGTGCAGAGTTGCAGGGTGAAGACCATAACCTAGTAGGAAGGTGCCCACCTCTGGACCTCACTGGGAACTCATGCAGGTTCATTACTGATCTTCAAGGGCAGAGACTGCATCCAATAAACTTTTTGTCTCTATACCTGGAACAAAGTCCAACATGTAGTCCACAGTCAATAAATGCTTCTGCAAAGTGTGGCAGAATTAAATATTAGTCTTGGTTAATCTAATTCATTCCCACTTCAAAATAACACGCCCTCGAAGGCTTCCCAGTGTAGGGCTTCAGCTCTGGCTTTTTTCCACAGAGAGAGGATGACTGGGGGGCTAGATGAGCCAGCCCAGCTCGGGCAGGATGTAGATGTGAGCACTAGAGCTAGCATTCTGGGCTTAAGGGCTGATTGGAGCAAAGCTGGGTGGAGTGGATTTGGTTCTGCCAGCTGATAGTGAACTATGGAAACACAAAACAAACATTTAAAAAGTGATGAGGAAGCCCACGGAGGAGATCTTCAGTGCTTGTCCTACTGGCCTTTGAGAAGTAGCTAGAATTCCTCCTTTCTCATGGCATATAAGATAGGCTGTCTGCTGCAAACCTTTTTTAAACATACTGTTTTTTGAATGGGCCATATATAAAGCATATAGTATAACATTCAAAGGATACAGTAGGTGTATGGTAAAAATAAGTGTGCCTACCACCTTTGCCCGAAGTTCCTCTCTCTAAAGATTTCTACAATTACCAAGTTATTCCACTTATTTTTAGGTACACACAAGTATTTCATATTTGGATATAATACATGTTTATATGTGTTTCTATATTTTCAGACGAATACTCATCTAATAACAATTACATTGAATCTTGATTTTTTTCATTTAACAACTTGTACTGTGGTTCTTTCCATTTTTACTTGTGTTATTTTAAAAATCCCAGCCTCTAATATTATCTGATACACAGTCCAACATTTGTTTTGTGAGAGAATGAATGAATGATTTAATAATAGTCTCTAATTCATTCTGAACCTAAAGTCACCTATCAACAGATTTTATAAATGCCTTCTCCTACAGCCCATCTCCCATATTCATCTTTTTGCTTATAAATATCATATCCAAACCTCAAAATTAATCTCAAAAGAAATTCACCTGGCAGGAACCTTCCCTGAATATTGCCTCTCACACTGTCCCCCAGGAGTTCTCTCCAAGCACTTAATACTCTGCTATTTTTGATTGTCCTCTGACCTCTTACTTGTTAACATAATAACCATAGGGGCTCCTGGTTGGCTCATTGAGTTAAGCATCTGCCTTTAGCTCAGGTCATGATCCCAGCCAGGGTCCTGGGATCCAGCCCTGCATTGGGCTCCCTGCTCATCAGGCTCCCTGCTTCTCCCTCTACTCCCCGCTCTTGTTCTCTCTCGCTATCTCTCTCTCTCTCTCTCTCTCTCAAATAAATAAATAAATAAATCTTAAAAAAATAATAACCATAAAGGTGTGAATAATACTCAACAATTTTCATTGAATACTTATTTGTGCCAGAGACTTCACTAAGCATGTTATGTGTATTTCTCACCAATCCCTACAACATACCTTGCTCTCCCCTTAGTGGGCAAATTCCAAGTTGTGGTCCTTGGTCACTTCTGGGGGTCCCTATACGACCTCAGCTGCCATGGCAGTAAAACCCTTTTCTCCTACGCTTTATTACCTTTCCTTCCTTCCCTTTCTCAATTCCCCACTTGCTTACTTCCTGCAATCACCTGCCAAGTAAATGACTTACCCTCAAATCCTTGTTCAGGGTCTGCTTTTAGAGAAATCAAACCTAAGGAAACTGGAGGTTAGTGTGTGAGTAACTTGTTCAAGTTTATGTATACATCAAGTGGCAGATTCAGGGTTTGAGCCTGAAGCCATGCCCGAAAACACTCTACCTGACTGCCAACTAGATAGTAAGGGCCTCGAAACAGACCAATGAATACTGTATTGCTTCTGTAGTGTGTTTGAAAATGCAAGCCAAAGTCAGAGCTTACTACGTACTTCTGCTGGTCAAGGTTTTGGAGTGTCTTCCCACCCTAGCACATTAGGACATGCACTGTTAGCTAAATATGGAAGCTTATAATTTGTTACTGAAACTGTGATTTAAAAGCAAGAGTTCCTCATGCTCGTGTAGTGGCTGAGTGTCTTCCTGTCGTTTTACAGACAGCAACTTCATCCTTGCGAATGCCCAGGTGGCTAAGGGGTTCCCCATAGTCTACTGTTCGGATGGCTTCTGTGAGCTCGCTGGATTCGCCCGGACTGAAGTCATGCAGAAGAGTTGCAGCTGCAAATTTTTATTTGGAGTTGAAACCAATGAGCAGCTGATGCTTCAAATAGAAAAGTCACTGGAGGAGAAAACGGAATTCAAAGGAGAAATTATGTTCTACAAGAAGAACGGTGAGTGGCTTTCTTAGGCCGGTGCTTATCGGACAGTTGTGAAGGGTCACCTTCTTTCAACTCAGTAGTTAATCCATAACTGCCATTCATGCTTAATGGCATTTCACATAAATATATAGACTGTTATTGAAATTCCACAAATGACTCAGGCAATAGCCTGGTTTTAGCCTTTAGCAGCATAAACTGTTTGAAAGTTTAGCATTAAAATTAAACCTGTTCAATGTTGATATATTAACTGAGTGAATCTATATTAAAATAAAGTGTATTACAATTTTACTAGGTCGCTCTTAAAATACATATTAGATATGATAGTTGTTAATGTATTATTAATAGATGATCTTATCCAGGATATTCTCCAAATTGTATGCCTTTAAGAACCACATCTCAACCTCAGTCACTAAGGCAGAGGCCAGGTGTTCATGGGCAGAAAAGGAAGTTAATTTGAAGGACAACAGCATAGGCATTTTCTCTTCCAGTTCCCTGGCCATAGAGTCTTTTTCACTACTTTTTTAAAGACAAAATAAGAGACACATGGTATAACTCAAGGTGGTAGTAAATTTGCCTGGACTCAAAACTGCCACTGAGGAAATACAAAGTGTTTTCTTGTGGCTGCCGTTTTGTGACTCTTTTCTAAATAAAAGAAGATGTAGGGTTGGGTATGGTATCTGCAGTACTGGGGTTCTATGTAGGAATTGGTTTCATTATCTCATGGGCCCTGGTAGTTGGGATGAATCCAAGAGGCATTATATTGGGGAAACACTAAATCAAAATTAGAACAGATTGTCATTTTCCAATTTCTAAAATTCTCTTTCTCTAATAGTTTTTCCTAAAATAACATCGCCATCTGAGATTTTTCTGTGCTCATGGCTACCAAGCTAGAGAATAGATTTCCCAGCCTATTTTGCAGTTGGGCTGGCCATGTGACAAAGTTTTGGGCCAATGATACGCAAGAGAACGATTTATGTAACTTTTAGGAAAAATCCCTAAAAAATACAATTGTTTGCCCTCTAATTTCTCTTCCTTTCCATTATGTTATGGACTGAATTGTGTGTCCTCAAAATTCACAGGTTGAAGCTCTAACCCCACTGTGATTGTATTTGGAAAGAGGGCCTTTAAAGAGGTGATTAGGGTTAAATGAGATCATAAGTGTGGGACCCCTGCCCAATATGACTAGTGTCCTTATAAGAAGAAGAGATACCAACAATATGGGCACACAGAGGAAAGGCTATATCGATACAGGGTGAGAAGGCAGCCGTCTGCAAGCCAATGAGAGTGGTCTCAAGGAAAAACAACCTGTCAGCACCCTGATCTCCACTCTGAGAAAATAAATTTCTGTGTGGCCATCCCATCTGTGGTGTTTTGTTAGAGCAGCCCTAGCAAAGAAGTACATGTGGGTCAGAATGTTCAGGCGAAGCCACAAAGGCAGCTTCAACCATTTGGCAAGGACAAACCATAGAGGAGTGCAGAGCAACAATATGGAAGAATCCTGGGTCTTGTTAGAGATCCTTGCTCCCCACCCCAGACAAAAGCAAGTACATTCCTGTCTTGTTGGAATCATTTCATTTTGGGGTCTTTTTGTTACAACATCTAAGTTGCATTCTAACACAGGGTTTCTCAGCTTTGGCCCTGTTGACATTTCTGCTTGGTAATTATTTGTTGTGGGAGACTATCCTGTGCATTGCAGATGATTAGCAGCATTTCAGGCCTCTATATTTTGTTCTCGGTACTTAGTATTGGGGTCGCTGTCAGGAAGAGGAATAGGGGCCCAAACATGGGAACTTCATCTTCTTTTCTAACTTATTTGTCTTTGGAGGACATTCTTAGATCATGTAAATTTTGGATACAGGGTAGTCGTGAAATATTGGAGAGTACCATTCTGGGACAGACAGAATATCCAGTGCTTTGGCATTAGAAACATAGTGTCCTTCCCAGTGTCAATAGGATAAGGCCTTTGTAGCAAATATGATAAAATAAAAGTAAAAAACTCCAGCTCTGTAATTATACCACAGTCACTGAAGAGAGCCTGAGATAGAAGAAAATAGAAGATGCCACAGAAAATGCAGACTGGACGGGAGTGATAAAACCACTCTCAGATGGAACAAAGAGAAAAGGGGTATCCTTTGTCTAAATTATCTGCTGACTGCAGACTTGGCCTTCTCAAGATGGGCACCTTGTATAGGTGACTCCAGATCCATCTGAGTGTCTTCCTTTTTAAGCCACCTCAAAATATCCAAATGTGGCAACACTGAGGAAGGTTTAGGCCAAGCAGGAGAATCTAGATGGGAAGCCCAGAGGGCAGAGACTTTAGAGGCCAGAAAAGTAGAAAATATGGAGCACAGTGTGGGAGTCAACACCCAAAAAAATTTCCTGAGCCCAGGGTTTTATGTCTGCAGCCTTGGACCTCTTTAGGTGAAATCATTAAAGGCACCAGCCCCCTCTAAGCCAATCAATATGGAGATTTGTCTGACATTTTGAGCCAACAAATTGATCCAGTTACAAGTAATTGAAAATTGCTGCCTCTCCTATGATAATCATGCTGTATTTTAGCTATTTTTATAAATATCTCTTTCCACACACAATGGTGAACCTTTGAAGACACAACTTATGCATTACTTGCTTCCGCATGTCCAGTGTTTAGAGCTTGAGTTCAGAGCAGTGTCCATCAAACATTAGTTTCTCAGTAAATGCTTGCTGATTGGAATTGATAATTGATCATTAGAGGGACCTATGGACACTTTAGAAGATGTCTGGATTTCTGATTATTAAAAATAAGCTTATGCCCTCAAGGGTCCTCCTTCTCCCCTTCAAGGCTCATTTTCTTTTAATTTACTTTAGAAAGGAGGTGCTTGTTTCTCATTCTCCCCAGATACACTTTAACCATCTGTGATTGAGCTTCTTTGCTCGACCCCTCAATTTTGTGCTTGTTCTCCTGACCTCATGGGAAAAGGCTGCCCTTTCTCTTCCTGCCCAGGCCTGTAATTCTGATAACCAGACCAGAGGCTGGTGATGTGCAGCAGAATACTCTTAAAGGTTTAGGGCATCTAATGGGACTTGACACACTGCAATCAGGATGGCAAATATGCCAAATTCTCACTGGCATTACACACCTGGCAGAACCCCAACTCCTAGTCATGTCTTAAGCCTGTAAGTCTGCCTCCTTTCCCTCTCCACCCCACCTTAAAGACAGCCCCTTCCTTCATGCTTCACAGGCTGAATGCCCCTATCCTCTTTGGGAAAACCTTATTGTCTACCTACTAGAGTTGTCCTCCCTGAAGGGTCTATTGTCCTCTCCTGACTAGGGAAAAGTGTGGGACATAGCATTCTCCAGAAGAATTCATCCCCAAATGCAGACTAATTCAGCCC